GCAGGTAATCTTGCTATTTGGTGCACTTCTATGAACCGTTTTATGTTTGAAATCACTTCGATGTTATGTTTGATGGCCCAGTGATAACAGTTGTTTTACATTCCCATGGACGTTTTGTAGCTAGTTTTGTGACCTAGAATATCGCTATCAGATTACAACCAACAATATTTCCGCCCTCTAGTGTGGTAATGGGTTACTAAATAATATCTGAATACGTAAGCACCAGTAAATATTTATGTGTAACTCCCACATCCGAGTACGTATGACAATATCAATTTAAAGGTCAACCACTCCTCTTGGATATACTATCAACTTCTCGGGTCTATGTCCTTCAGAGGTAAATATAGAATACATAGAATAATACCTTTGTCATTTTTCACACAAAAATCAGGGTCCAATTGAACCGCTAAATATTTACCTATGGCCCGATCCCCTTTTCCATGTAAAATTTCGTGATGTTCGCGGTCTCTGGAGCAACCATAAAAAACGACAAAAATTAAGTATTTGGTTCATTTCATCCCCTAAATATAAACCGGGCTGCACAAAGCTATAATACCCTGACAACATAGTAATGCAGGGTATAATAACAATGTTGTTTAATTCGCTTTGTCATAAACGAATTTAATGTCATTTACTCGTTACTTGCTAATAAACTGTGAACATTATAAAATACCTGGTGGAATAAGTACATCATCAAAAGATTTTTGAGTGCTGTGATTATCTGTTAAGAGTTACTTATTAGCTTCGAATGAATAAAAACGTGAAAAGATTTACTTTTGACTGACTGAATAAATTAATAAACAATTCTATAATGAGGAAAAAGTATAATACGATTTTGTTTGTTGTTCAGTCGTAACATTAAGCCGTTGGACTACAGTGTTGTTCACATGCAATATTGTTTTTTTTGTTTGTAAAAAACTATTAAGTTGGCAATTTTTTTGAGGCTACAAATAAGAACTTTCTCTGATTTATGTTTTCATTATCGTATTTTACAAAGTTGTGGGTTTGGAAAAATTATATAAAGAAAAAATCGGGCCAAAGCGGGTTAATTAATTAAATTTTCTTATTGTGTTTGCAATACTGATGAAATTACAAATCGGACTTAGTTTGTGATTGTTTGCAAAGAAAATTAAACTAATACTGAGCAGAATAAATTAAATCCTTTGGGGCTTTATATAAAAATATATATAATTTCTCTTAATATGCGTCCATATCAAGAGCAGTTGGAAATTATGGATGCAAATGCAATAAACAATTTCCATTTGGTTGTCTTAGAGTCTATATTTTCTTCAACATGTGATGTTGCATTAATTAATGTTTTTCATTCAAAGTTTTTTTTTTTTAATCGGATACCCTATTTGCCCTATATGAAATTCACATATTTTTTAAAAACGTTGACCTGTTGTGGGTGGTAGCCCAAGGCGTTAACCAATGGGACCCATCTTTAGATTCATAATCTTTAAATTCATATTACGATGGATGAAGTTTGGATCAATTGTACATTCCATCCGGTTGATATTGGATTTAGAATTTTTCACAATTTGACACTTTTTGGGCGAGGTACAAAAAACAGTGGACTGATGGATCACTTCTTCGGACGATATATAGGTTTGATAAAAATATTACAATTTGCAATCAATTTTAACCCTTTATGGGGGTGTTAAGCAAACCGATAAGTCAAAACGATAATCATGTACTCCGTTTAAATTATTTTATAAATTTTATTTTCAATAAGATTTGTAACATATTAGGATTCCACCTATATTCCACCAATCTTTGAAATTGTTTTAAGGGGACCCCCCCCATTCTCGGGGTCTAAATTTTTGTTGATATAATTCGAATCTACACTGATTAAAGAATGTCTCTACAAAATTGCAAGTGAAAATCTCAAGAACTGTTGAAGATATATCCGATTTATTGTGTCAGCATCAAGTGACGGCTGAAGGGCTTCTCAAACTTTAAACGCGTTTTTCTCTAAACATTTTTTTGCGAATGGCGGGCACGATAACTCAAAAACTAATAATCCAATCGGTTCCAAATTTTGCAACGTTTCTCTGGGAGTGTATAGCTCTCGTATGAACTAGGATAAAGCCAATCGGTGAAGATCTTCCTTATTTTTTAACTTGGTTTTTGGTAAAAAATCCGCGATTTTTCAAAAATATTTTTTCAAAGGGCCACCATTTTCTTAATTTTAGAGCGAAGTCAATAATCCTAGTTCATACGAGAGTCAGACATGTACTCTTTCTAACACCGTTGGAATTTTCGGATTCCGATGTTCCAGTGAGGAGTTATCATGCCCGCCATCAAAAATAAGGACTTTTCTTTAATTACAACAACAACAAAACAATAACAAAATTTTTTTGTAAATTATTTTTCTTCTCTTTTAAATCTTCAATTATATATGTGCAAAGTTACAAACCTTAACAAGCATTGGTATTGATTTACCAGCCCATTGAAAATCTTGAAAAAATAAAATCGTGAATGGGGGGGGGGGGGGGTGGGTTTCCCTTAAATGTGAAAGATATAATACTACTTCTCAGTTTGGATCATATTGGTTATTCCATTCGAAAGTTGTCGTGCGCACCAGCCAGGCAGACAGGCGGATAGACGAACCTTTGTAAATCGACTTTAAATTGTCTGAAACGGAGTATATCCTCTAACATGAGGTGGACATTCAAATTACAAAAATATCAATTGAGACATTTATGCCATGGAGAAAACGACAATTTGGGCAGGACTTGAACATACCGTAAATTACGCTCGACGACTGAAAAATATGTCTTACTTAGCTGGCTTGTGACATAACATTTGTTCCATAAGCCGAGCTTAAAAAAGATTTCCGGGCGTGTCGGTCTTGTGCGCAGCTCTTACAAATTGAAAGACCATGCTCCACAATGTTGTCGTCCACTTGATCATTCCATATAATTCGTGACCTTCCTCTTCTGTGTGAACCATCAGTTGATTCGCTCTTATACATATGCCTTTTGAACTGGGGCATCCTCTTCTATTCTCACAACATGACCTAGCCAACGTAGTCACTGCAGCACGATAAGTCTGAATACGTCGATGTCTGGGAATAGATGGTACAAGTCATTGTTCATTCGATTTTTGATTTTGAGAGATTTTTTCTCAAACACTCCAAGAACTGCCTCATTTGCTTGCGCAAGTACCCATGCTTCAGATCCATACAACATCACGGGTAGTATCAGCGTCTTGTAGAGTGTGAGTTTGGTCTGGCGAGAAATGGCCTGGTCTGTTGGCCAACACTATTCTTCTCCGGATTTCAAATCTAATGTTATTAGTTTTGTTTATGGCGGTACGGTTCACCACCTCGAAGCTGTTTTTTCGAATTCCACAGTTGGTACGAATCTACTGGACGTCTTGTGATTGATACCAGTTTGGTTTTCTCACCATTTACTACCAGTCCCATTTTGGCAGAATACTTCTTAATTTCTTTAAAGTTGGCTGTCACCACTCGCATTGTTCGAACTATTTTGTCGATGTCGTCGGAGTAGGTGAGTCACATTTGCTGTTTCAAGCAGGACGTTAAAAAGGTTACACGACAAACTGTCACCTATTTTGAACACTAGTTCAGTATTAAAGGTCTCCTTTCCGACTTTAACTGCTGATATTGTGCCAGTTAAAGTTATCCTGCATGGCCTTATTAATTTTGCAGGAACTCCATATATGGTTTGAAACACCTCTGAGCGGATTGGGCTGTAGAATGCGGCTGCCGGTCTGCACTTTATATGCAATGAGAAGGAGACTAATTCCTCTATAATTGGCACATATCGTCTTGTCTCCTTTTTTGTGCACGGGGCACAGGATGCTGAGGTCCCAATCACTAGGCATGCATTCATCTAGCTAACTTGTACTAATCAGTTGGTGCATGTTCCTGATCAGCGTCTGTCCACCGACCTGGAATAGTTCGGCTAGTAATCCATCGGCACCTACTGCTTTATTCAGCCGATTAATTGATATCTGACCTCATCTTGGCTAGGTCGTATACAATCTTTGTCGTCATCTGTTATTGGTTCCGCGGAATCTTCTTCACGGTTACTATTTAATACCAGAAGCTTTGCAAAATGCTCCTTCTAGATCCTCAATACGCTATCTGTATCTGTCACCAGGTTTCTATCTTCATCTCTACAGGAGGATGTGCCTGCATCAAAGCCTTTGGTTTGGTATTTTACTCGTTGGTAAAATTTCCGGACTTCATTCTGACACATCTCGATTTGCTCACGCTATCGTTTCTCTTGTTCTTTCGTTTTTTTCTGGAAAAACGTTTCTCGATAATTCTCAATCACATTACGTGTTGCTACTGTCTGCTGGGTTGCCCTATACCCTGCATTTTTCGCATCAGTAACATTACGACACTCCTGATCGTATGGGTTTCTTCATAGTGGTCTTTTGTACATAATTGATGATTTTGCTGCAGTTTGTATGGTTTGTTATCGGGACAAGGAGTAGGCAGCTTTTCGATGTCGAGTTTTCGTATTACATTTAGACGAGTGCGAACCTTGCCTGCTACAAGGTAGTGGTTCGAATCGATATTCCGTCTATGACAATATGATCAATTTGATTTCTAGTTGAAAAATATGTCTGAAACTCTCAAAATACCGAAAAGTGAGGTTATATGGGAGTATATCAAAACTTTATTCGATATTGACCATTTTTTTAGGAGCAAGAATTAAGAATGTCAGTCAATTTTGTTCTAATAACACAATCATTTTGGAATGCAGACAATCTTTATACTGGCATATTTATATTTCCATACCGATTTCATTGAATATTTCTATTAGAATCTTATAGAATTTAAAAGCAATATATTATTTTTTATTTACAATATTGAAAATTAACATCAATATACATACATAACAATTTCAAGGCTATAACATAGATAATTACATACATATAATGTATTTGTTTCCATCGATTCGATTCTAAAACTAAATTAACAAAAAGTAACAATTTTCACATAGACCATTTGTTCCCTCATATCATCCATAATAATCAGCAGCTGCTGGTAATTCTCCGATTATAAATGTTGCTGGAACATTGGCAAATATTTTGGAAAGGCGTTCCGTTAAAATGGTTTCAACGGCTGATTTTATAGCGGGACGTAATATTTCATAGAATTCGTGCCAATTTTCATTGAAAACATCATGAGCACTCTCTTCCAAAACTTTCTGTCCATGAAAGAGGTTGTCCAGACGTATACCGAAGCCACCGACTTCTTTAATTTCGGCATGCAATTTATCGACATCCATAAACGTTAGACCATCTTCATCGCGTAATTTGAAACGAATAAGTAACTTGACTTCCAGATGCTCTAAAAGTAAGGAAATATCCCTCGGATTATTGTTATAACTCATTCAATGCTATTGCCTACTTACCCGCCCTTATGAATGCCTTGCCATTTCCATTTAAAGCCAAACTCAATATACGTCCCGTAATCGTGTAATCGGAATGAATATTCAATTTGGGCACCACCAATGTTGCCTTGGCAAATAATTCATTTAAATCGAAACTGTAAAAAATATCAAATCATAATTAATCACAGTGGAATGTTTTGTATTTTATGTATAATTTTTTTGTTTACCTTACATTCTCGACACGCAAATCTCTGAGACCTTTCACCTCTAAATTATGGAGATTAGCATTCATTGAGACGGGATGCCTGAGATCTTGTTCCATAATAATGCGTTTAACAAATAATGGATCCAAATCACCAACATATTTTGGACTAAGTAATCCTGTAAATATGAATGTATATATCAATGTTATGTTTCAGTAGAGTCGACATACTTTTATAGACTAACCAAAGATTTTGTGTGATAAAAAACCTGTTATTTTAAATTTCGTGACTTAAATAGTTCGATTATTTCTGTTATGTTCTGTTTTAAATGTTGTTGTCAGTTAATTTTTGACTGATAAAAATATTAGTCGTGATTTGGTGTGCACTTCGATTTTGAACTATTTAAAAAAAGAATCAAAGAAAACCAGTATGGAAAGTAGTAAAGTCGGGTCGACAATATGATACCCTTTACCACTTTGGATATATTTAGTAGCAGAAGTCGCATTTTTGAAGTACTTTTGAGATGAAATTAAACTAAATTAAATGAGCCTGCATTTATATGTGAACCGACTTAAGGGGACCTCCCCTATTCTCGATATTAAATTTTCAAGATTTTCATTGGGCTGGTAAATGAATACCAGCTTGTTAAGGTTTGTAACTTTAGAATTCATAATTGAAGATTTAAAAGAGAAGAAAAATAATTTGCCAAATTTGGTTGTTGTTGTTTTTAGTGATTAAAGAAAAGACTGGTTAATTTTATCACCTTGGTGCACTATTTACTAAAAATCGGACGAAAATATATATGGGAGTTATATCTAAATCTGAATCGTTTTCAATAAAACTTGGTACTCATTCGGCTGTTCCAACTTCACTACGTTTTGCAAAATTTCGTGTCAATCGGTCTAGCATTGACCCTTTGGATACCATTTACTAAAAATCGAACGAAAATATACAGTGGTGGTCACGTAATTAAAACATTTATTGTGGTAAACATTTTTTGATCAGCCCTCGATTCGTTTGAAGTATTTTTGAAAATTGTGTAATTTAGAACACTTCGATATACTGCACTTTAGAGATTTAGTGTGAAAATAGAAAATTATTGCATGCAATTTTTCCATAAATAACGGTTTTTATGAAAATACATCGGCTTTGAAGTGGCCACATAATTAAAACATTGTGTAATTTTTTGCTTTACTGCATTTTTTGAAAATGTTTTGAAAAAAGCTCATTAATTTAGTTAAATTATGTATGCTAAGCACCGATAAAATCGTTTACAGATAAAATTTTTTGAAAAAAAAAAATCTGTAAAATCTATCAAAATTGCCAAAAATTTGTACAGTACACATAACATTCAGAAAATCACCTTTATTATAGAAAAGAAAGGTCCAAATGCACCAGAAATTGCTAGAATTAGTAGAACATAATAAATAATTCTTAAATAAATAAATTTGAAATAAAAACTCAAAAATGGGAATTAACCTAAAGGAAAGATTCAACTTCGATAGCCTTTATTTAAGAAGGCCAGAATATTTTTGCAGTATGTGAGAAAATATCGATCGATATTGGCATTTATTATTTCAAATCGATTGTGCGAGGAGTAGAGAATAGAGAATATCAGTCACAACAGAACGAACAGAGATCAACGCCACAGTCGATTTGAAATAATAAATGCCAATATCGATCGATATTTTCTCACATACTGCAAAAATATTCTGGCCTTCTTAAAGGCTTCCGAATCTTTGAATCTTTCCTTTAGGTTAATTCCCATTTTTTGAGTTTTTATTTCAAATATTTATTTATTTTGAGAATTATTTATTGTTTTCTACTAATTCTAGCAATTTCTGGTGCATTTGGACCTTTATTTTTTATAATAAAGGTGATTTTCTGAATGTTAGGTGTACTGTACATTTTTTTGGAAATTTTGACAGATTTTACAGATTTTTTTCAAAAATTTTTATCTGTAAATGATTATATCGGTGCTTAGTATAAATAAATTAACTAAAATAAAAAGCTTTTTTTTAAAAATATTTTCAAAAAATACAGTAAAGCAAAAAATTACACAATGTTTTAATTATGTGGCCACTTCAAAGCCGATATATTTTCATAAAAACCGTTATTTATGGAAAAATTGCATGCAACAATTTTCTATTTTCACACTAAATCTCTAAATTGCAGTATATCGAAGTGTTCTAAATTAAAAAATATCAAAGATACTTCAAACGAATCGAGGGCAGATCAAAAAAAGTTTTACCACAATAAATGTTTTAATTACCTGACCACCACTGTATAGGAAGCTATATCTAAATCTGAGCCGATTTTCACGAAACTTAACACATATCATTCTAGACCCAATTCAGTACGCTATGTCCAATTTCGTGTAAATCGAAAGAAATGTAGGGACTTTGGTGCACCATTTACAGTAAATCGGGCGAAAATATATAGGAGCTATATCTAAATCTGAACCAATTTTTTCCCAATAGGTTTCGTCCTTGGGGCATATAAGTGAGCTGTGCCAAATTTCATCTAAATCGGGTCATAAATGCGACCTGTACTTTGTTTACAAAAATACATGGACAGACGGATGGACATGCGTAAATTGACCCAAAAACTGATTCCATGCATATTTTCAAAGGAATCATGTGTCTATCTCGTTTCCTTTTGCCTGTTACAAACATAAGTACTAAGACATAATACCCTGTACCATCAGCCTTTTGGCCAGTGTTGCCTTATTTTAGCACTTTTTAAATTCGTTTAGCACTTTTTAAATTCGTTTAGCACAAAAATAGTGATCTAGTATATTGATTTATTGGTATTCGGGTTATGAATGTGGCCTCCCCTAATATCCTCCAATCACCCCAAAAAGTAGTGCGACATCTACATCACCATAACCAGAACTTTATGCAAAATTTCATAGCTATCAGCGCGACATTTCCGACTTTAGTAATGGTCATACTAAATAATATTGGAATACGTAGACCACGTCTGTCCTTCTCGAATAAATGTATATGACATAGAATGCAAATTTTGTGTTTCCCCCATGTAATGTTTTATGAGAAACAAATACAAATGCTTTTGGTTGACTTCAGCAGCTAAATATTGACCGATTTTACAAAACACAATAAGTATCTTCCTTTGTTAGAGCCGTATAGGCGAAATTTTGTGACAATTGATTCCCAGCTGTTACCGTTACTTTGTTTACAGATGTTAATGGAAAGGCGAGCGGACACACATATCTACATGAACCCCGTTAGTCGAGATATGACGATCCGTATACTAAAAAGAGTGTCTAGGACCAATATTTCGTGGCGTCACAAATTCATGTGCCACAAAAACTTATAAAAAAAAACAGTGAGCGGAGCAGTATAGTCGGACTGGGCCGACCATATGATACCCTACACAACTTCCACGAAAATCAAACTTTCTGTGGTACTACATTCTGAGCTTGGGCAATACTTCGCGATATTTGCACCCTCTTGATGACTAGAGGTCAAGAAATATTATATATCTAAATATGAACGGATCTTCACGAAACTTGGCACACATCACTCTAGACTCAATTCAGTACGCCATGCCAAATTTAGTGCAAATGGAAGAATATATATATATATATATATATATAGAGTCTTTGGTGCACCATTTGCATTAAATCAGACGAAAATATATATGGGAGCTATATCTAAATCTGAACCGATTTTCACGAAACTTAGCACACATTATTGTAGGTTTATTTTAGTACGCTGTACCAAATTTCGTGCAGATCGAAAGATATTTAGGGACTTTTGTACACCATTTACCTTAAGTCGGGCGAAGATATATATGGGAGCTAAATCTAAATCTGACCCGATTTTTCCCAATTTCAATAGGGTTAGCCCTTGGGCCAAATGAATGAGCTATGCCAAATTTCTTCCAATTCGAATAATAAATGTGACCTGTAATTTGTTTACAATTTAACATGGACAGACAGACGGACGGACATGCATAAATAGACTTAGAAAGTGATTCTATGGATATTCTCAAAAGGAACCATGTGTCTATCTCGTTTTCTTTTGCCGGTTACAAAAGATCAGACCTCGGTCCACACCTTCTTGGACATCCCACGCAAATTGGTCAAAATTTTGCTGAACATTAATTTTATAATACCATGCGAATGGAATAACCGAATTGAACTACTCATTGCACAACCTAATATCTTATCCATTCCTGTATAATGTAAGAAGACAGGACCTATGGATCCACTAAGGGTCAAAATTTTGAAAACTCATATGGAGCGGACGGAATATCCCATTTCGTACATACATTGCACACGATAATATTCTTAGATACATCAAGCTCGAACATGAGACCCATTGGTGCACTCGTTCTAGTAGGTACCTCACATACATAATGTCAAATCGTAGTATTTTTCCAAATCTACAATAAATTCTAAGATAGTGCCTATAGGACAACCTCATCTGAAACCCCTCCAAAGAAGGGTTTGAAAGCAAATATATCTTATATAAAGCGAATAATAAAACTTGTGTTCTCGTTCTAGTAGGTACCTCGCATACATAATGTCAAATCGTAGTATTTGTCCAAATCTACAATAAATTCTAAGATAGTGCCTATAGGACAACCTCATCTGAAACCCCTCCAAAGAAGGGTTTGAAAACAAATATAACTTATATAAAGCGAATAATAAAACTTGTGTTCTATTCCGAAGACCTCCGCAAAACATAGGCTGTGGGTATATAACTGTCTGCAAAACCGAAGGACATTGTTTTTACTTATTTTTTGTATGAAGGGTATATTAATTTTGTCATTCTGTTTGTAACTCATCGAAATATTCATGTGCGACCCTATAAAATATATATATTCTTGATCAGGGTAAAATTCTAAGACGATCTAGCAATGTCCGATTGCCTGTTGTAATCACGCTATCTTCTGAAGCAGGGATGCAAAAGTTGGCACAATTGTACTAATTTTAGCACTATTTGGAAGTCAAAAATACAATAGCACCCCAATGACATATTTAGCACTATTTCTAAATTATATCAAACTATTCTCAGTTAAAAGTATTATAAGTGCTTAAACATACAACATGAAATGGATCGCCATCCCCCGCTGTCGTTACGAATGGATGAATTTGCCATAGTTTAACCGTAGTGTCCTATGCAAATTCAGTATTTCCGATCAGAATGATAAATTCAGTAAAGATATTAATTATTATTTTTGTAACAGTTATATGAGAGAGATGATTTTTCATTGTTTCAGGAATATTTCGGTACAGATATTTCAGATATTTAAAACCAAAGAAAGGAACAGAATACATGCATCGACTGCTTTAAATCTTAATTAATTTTGTTTATGTATGGTTTTATTAATTGTTAATAACAACAAACATTTTATTAAAAAATATATAAAAAGTACAATCGGACTGAAAAAAGTACACTTTTTATTGAAAGCCAGTACAATTTGAATAATTTCATTTCGCATCCCTGTTCTGAAGTAATTGAGATAGGGTGTTGAAATTTTGCATAGTTTTTTTGTCTGCAGGCAGGTTAAGTTCGAAGATGGGATATATCAGTCCACGTTTAGACATAGCTCCCATATAACCGTATTTTCGGTATTTTGCAGTTCCTGAGTGCGTTTTTCATCCGAATTCGCTGAAATTTGGTACATTGGGTTCTTTTTGTGTACTAAATGTCTTCACAAAAAATTATAAATATAGGCCCACTTTTTCTGTTAGCCCATATATAACGGTACTTCCTAATTTGCATTACTTTGGGGGTTTTGATCGTATTTTACCGCCGAATTAGCTGTAATTTAGTATTTTCAGTTCTTAATAGGTACCAAATCTCTTCACAAAAAATTATGAATATAGGTCCATTTTTTCGGATAGCCCCCATATAAGGGTACGACAGATTTTTGGTATTTTGGGGTTCTTGAGCGCGTTTTTCAACTGAATTTGCTGCAATTTGGTATTTTATAGTCGTATATAGTAACAAATCTCCCTACTAAAAATTATTAATATTCGCCTCCTTTTTGGGGTAGTCCCCATATAACCCCCTTTTTTTTATTAAAATAGTAATCTGATTTGTTCCGCGCTTTGAGTTTGGTTCTAAGACTCTGTTGTAATCATTTCACCTGCGGAGGATAGCGAGATAAAAAATTAGAACGTATACTGCATTTAGACCTAGCCCCTGTTTGTATTATGGTTTACATAATCCGTTTTTGGAAATGTCGGTATAGGTCCACTTTTTGGTAAGTTCCCTATATATTCATTTCTAGTACCTGTCAGTATATCTATGGTGGAGGGTATCCAAAGTTCGGCCCGACCGAACTCAACGATTTTTTGCTTGTTTTCTCTTAATTTTGATCCACCATTTTGAAGTCTTGTTTATTTTAAAAATTTGTAATCAGCGTCCATAGCTCTACGAAAGTTTGTAAAAAAGTTGACCTCCATTTTCGATCCACCACATTAATTTTTTTTGCAGATTCGTAATCAGCTCCCTCGAAACCCTTATATGTGATATTCATTTATTTCATTAACCCTCTGCTCTAATTTTAGAAGCAAATGGGATCTCTGGCCCATTGTGATTTAGCGGCGCAAAATGTAAAACTTCTAAACCAATTAAGATATATTTCTGAAGTTTTGCCAAAACTTAGCTTATACTTGTGGGAATATTGTTTTGTTTTGGTATAGTCATGTTCAACGGAATATTTTAATATCGACTATTTTCACATGTCATACAATATTTTACATAAGTATTCCCAAAGGCTGGGCGTATGTAGTTATAAAATATATAGGCAATTCAAAAAATTGCGCATTGCGAATATTGGTACTACACAGTCGAACATTTGTACGGATAAAAAAAAAACGTTTTTTTTCCTCTAAAAACTGTGTACCACACAAATTGCTCACACAACATTTTCGTTATAACACTGTTTAACTACCTCTTATAACTAATAATACACCCACATTTACTTTAATAATTACCTTCTTTCCATTCGGTAAAAAATGCTTGGAAATTTCTTACCAAACATCGATTGAACTCGGAATCGTTCGGTTGGCATTGTGTTAAAAAATCCGCTAAAATAAATATAACAAACAATTCACAGAAAGATTTTCTTAAATAATTTACATCGAAAATCAATTATTTATTTACGTTTTGTGGTGAGCGTCTTTCCATTGACCACAGCGACCACCAGTATTGTTGCCAAGATCACAAGCAAACTTGAACCCGAATCCAGTTTCATGATTAATTTGCACTTCTCACAAGAACGATGACAAAAAAATTAAGCAGACACGACACTTCGATGATTGATGTTGATAAATAAAATGACAAAAGAATGATCGGCTCTGGCGTAGCGTGAGGCGTTAATAAGCGTTCAAAGTCGATTATCTTCTGGTGTATGCAATTTCCGAAACACTGACTGATCTGATTTTTTTTGTTTTGGTAAGCGTTTTTCCAAACACTCATTTCGGATTAATTCAAACAGCATCTGAAATTGAAATCGAAAACGAAAACCAGTTTCTCCAGAATCTTCGTTCAGAACACAGGAGCTGCTGCTATTGCTGTTCACAAATGCGTTCGTTGTGCAGTACTTACCCTACAATAGGTTCGTTCCCACAGGCACAATACTCTGGCCTAAACGTCCCGCTGCAAAATCCTTAGCTCTCGTCGATTTCAATTTCACTTAAAATTCAAACCGAATACGTTCGAATGGAACTTTTTGTATGACGAACGATAGACATGTTGTTGAATAAAATCGTTATATCGATATTGATGAGATGTCTTCTCATTGTCGTTGTCATTGAAGGTGATTTTGATTTCTGTTCTGGGGCCCATCCTAAGCGACGTTTCAACTTAAAATACATGAAATGAGATAAATTTGTTTTGGTTCTACCCCCTGATAAAATTCTGCTCAGAAAGCGGCAAAACAGAAAAAAAACACTAAAACGTGTGTGTTGGCTTAATGAAATAAACACACACATACATGCGTATGTACATACATATGTGTGTTAGCCGCTTCATAGGTATCTATTTTGTTTTTGAAGAAAACAAGTTGTTGCGTTCGCCACCTTCAAATCAGCTTCATTTGTTTTATGATGATTCTTAAGCTGCTGCCGATTGCCACTTTTAATGTGTTTTTTATTTTATTTCATTTTTTTTTAATTTTGCGAATAGTTTGCTTTTGTTGTTAATTTTTTATGAATATTAAATAACAACAGTTAACGATGTGAATATTAGCCGAGTCGAATTGTATGTACCCTCTATTAAGATGGAATATATTCGGAATTTAAACAAATCAACTATATCGCCGGAAGTCTACGTCCCTGATAGGTTAATTTAGTAATCGACAAATGGATGTTTGTATATAATTGCACGAAAATGAACAAATGGTACTAAAAATAGTACATTTGGTACAATGCATGTACTTAATTTATTACAATGAATATAAGGTGAAATAATAGAAAATTGAAGATTAGTATTTTCGTTCGGTTATAACTTTTGGGATTAATGCCGTTTTAAAAATTCATTCATTTAGAAATAAACGAAAAGAAATAAATAATACCAAATTATAATCACAGTTTTATGCTCCCTACCTTTAAGATAGGGACTTTGATACGATGACATATTGAATAGCCATTTTAATAAAAATTTTGGAGCGCCATACACAGAAAAAAATAATTCGTATATTATATGAATAGTGTTCAGAAAGTGTTGCCAATGTCCAGATTTTTGCATTTTATGAATGCAATTCGTAAATCGTTACATCGAAATCTTTATATCGAAATAATTTGGAAAGTACATATGCGAATTTTATAACACCAAAGCAGAGGCAGATAACATTATCTGAAATAAAAAACAATGGAATGCAAAACTAGCCACAATTGATTGAGTGGAGAGATCGCTCGTTGTAAACAAGATAAACAGTAGACAGGCAAACGGTTTATGGAGAGGGGAGAGACAGGGGACGATACCAAAAGATAAAGAAAGAGAAAGAGAGAATAAACAATGAGCGCAAATAGTGGTAAAGTAGATCGAAGTATGCAAATAATTTTGATATTAATGACAATTTTACATGATTTGGAAAAATTAGTGGCTTTCTTATGATTATAAGTATTTTTACATTTGTTCTAAGCGAAGTTCAGAATGGAAATAAACTATGAACGAAATTATGAAAATATTCATTAAGATGTTTTTCTGTGTAACGTGTATCTCTATACCTTCAAAACGTGCACGTTGGGCTATATATTTACAACGTTACTTCAAGTCTTCAAATCTTCCTACCAACAATTATCAATTGTGAACTAAGTTTAGAGTTAGCACCCCAGGCGAATAATTTAGGCAAAATTGTTTAAAGTAGGATCATTGGTATCTTCTAACTTTTGGGTTTTTGGGGAGTGCATGGTTCGATTCTCATTGGGTGCCAAATTTCACCACCAAAAATTATCAAAATTAGTTTTAAGTTTAAAATTTACAACTGCAATTTAATTGAGCAAAGTTGAATGGTTTCCTTTTCCATGTTACACACAAATGAGCAACATAGCCTGTACCACAGTCAGATGTAGGGTATACAAATTAATGCTTAATTTGTGGCTAACTTATCAACTCTGTCAGCGGTAGCCATCTAAAATTTGCACATATCAATTTTTCTATAAATCATATATAAATTTATTCCGACCTTTGTTTTATAATTCTTTCGGTTTTATACGCTCTTGTATCAATGGTAATGGGTAATTTAAGTTCATCATTCCGTTTGTACATTGTGGTAAAAAACATCTACAAATAACGATAAAAAACTATTTTTATTTTCCCTTTTTCGGTGATCATATCATTTGCGAAACTTATATTGGAATATAAAAATAAGTAGAACTATATAGATAATATTTTAAATGTGCTGTTTTTAAATGCATATTTTATATGGAAAGTGAAGTGTACTAAAAGCCTTCAATTAAAAATTTCCGTTTTATTTTTTCAAAGTCTTTGAAGGGCCGTGTTCTATCCATTAAAGTTATGAAAGGTATCAAATGAACAGTATCAGATTAGATTCTGTCTTATATTATTAAATTCTGTAATGAAACAAATTATGAAAATATCTTAAATTATATCTTAAATTCGTTATAGGGGCGGTAGCGTGATCCTACATATTTTAAATGTTTACGATAACTACAAAGTAATCAATCTGGTCAACTAACTGCACAATTCTGTGAAATCTACGCTAAATTGAAAGTGTATGTAGGGTAAAACATAGGCAACGCCATTCATGTGTCATCTATTTAAGTTGTTTTTATTTTATATACCATTAATATTGTTTCACATAGTGGAGAATTAATTAAGTTTTGGCAGCCATTCCGTCTGATGAGCCAGGCAGTGAGCCAACCAAACAACTAAGCAACGCTTGTTCTTACCTTTTTCAAAACATTTAATTTTAATTGATTTTCACACCGTGGTTAAAGTCCATTGGAATTTTACTGAAAAAGTAATATTGAATTAATTATTGTGGTTTATTTATTTAAATATTTTAAACATATTTTGTTTTCAATTGTTAATAAAATTCAAACAGATTTAGAATGTATTACGATTTTGATTTTTATTAGTTTGTTGAATTGAATAAAAGAATACTTTTTTCTTTATTTTGATTGTTAATTATAATTTTGTTGATCTACATTCGGACATTTTGGATATTATTTATGGTGTTTTCACAGAACCCAAAGTATCAACCTATATTGATGCCACCATCTTTCAACTTGACCTACATGGGTTTAGTGCTACTGCTCCCATATAAAGGTGAAAATGTTTGACATGTTTTTTAAACGAATTGACACTGGTTACCAAATATTTTAATATTGGTCCATTTTTTAAGGTGGCCCTCGTTTAATGGTACTTCCAAATTTCGGTATATATATATATATATATAGGATTTTGATCACGTCTTTAGAAATGGTCTATAATTCAGCCATTGCCAGTATAATTTAGATTTTTTTGTCTTTGTTTCTTAAGAATCCATAACAAGGAAAGTTCAAAAGTCGCCGACTATATGATAGCCTTCACAATATACAAGGGATACAAGAGATGCTCTTAATAGTTATAACCTACAAAACTATATTGTAAAGCTAGTACAGATTTGTGTGGCCCCAAAAGGTCATAGACCCATTTTTTCTATACCGATTTAGATCGGCTCAGCTAGTCGTCATATCTCGACTAGCTTTTGTCTGTAACAATATAATATGATCCAAAATTTCACAAGGAGGTATAGATTGGACCATGGATAATGGGATAATATTTAGGAGCCAAATGCAATCAGACTTTTGTGTGAAAATGGCCTGAAGGACATAGACAAGAGAAGTTGATGAGTGGTTGGCCTTTAAATTAATACCAATTATGTCGTTGTTCGTATTCGGATGCAGGTGTCGTACGTAAATAGTTGTGTCTGTTTATTCGATATTTGGTAAAAATTGTTACCAAATTTTACTAAATGTTGTCTGTTTACCCAAACATCCAGTAAAGGAAAGTAAAATGAGAGATCAAGTTCGACAGTTCAACAACAAAAAACTTACTGGAGTTAACTGAAAGAATTTTTTGCAGTAAAATTCAGCATGGCATAATTATGGAAGGTAGTATCATTTGAGAAAATTATAATGGCAATGAAAAATGAGCTCCATAAAATTGTATGTATGTCGATTGGCATATTTTCAATAAATCGAACAAAATATATTTGTAAAGCCACACATTGCTATCAAAATTCAACTTATAATTTTTAGAGGCAGGGAACTTCAAAATATTTGTAAATATAAAAGATTTAGTATTTTTTGCCACTGGACATATGCTGTGCGTACATTTCGAAGGAAGGTATTTCCATTTAAATTTTGAAAGCTGAATGTTGTCAAAAGAAAATTTATGAAAAAATTGGAAACATATAACTGCATGAGAATACCTTGCATAATTATGTCATGCAAACTCAGTAATTTTTGAATCAGCTGTTTTATGTGCAAGATATCCAAACATTTTAATTTCCAAAGTGCAATTTCGTTTCGTTAAACTGTGTTGCATAACAAATTTTGAATATGGAAGATAATTCGCGAATCTGCAAATTATTGGCTGAATCTTATTGAATGTTGTCTCTTTACTTTTCTCAGTACTATTGCAAAAGAGAATAAAAACGGCTTACTATCTGAAACAGAAATTACTGAGTAAATGTTACTGGAAAAGTAATCAGACACAGCTAGTATTTACAGGGGTCTACCTATTCTAATGTTTTGTATTACCAATTCCACACTAGAGGGTGGAAATGATCGTTTTAACATTTAACAGGAATTCCAGTTATATTCAAGGACGACTACTATAATTGTCGGTGTCATCAGATGATATTAATGGGATGGAATGGACGACAACTTTATTTTTGTGCGTGTTTTTCAAGTTGGCCACAATTATAAGGCGAACATCACAAAGAGAAGAGATATGGTATAGTGTCCCTTCTACCACAGTGTGATGACGAGTATAAATCTCGTTTTTTAGAACATCTAATATCGGGGGAAGCCTTTATCTTTGACTATGTCAAAACATAAACTTTTTTTTATATTTGGCAGAAAATGGAGGCCATCGCATGTCTGGTGGAAAATTCCTTATGGGGATGAAAGTCTCTTGCGAGTATGTTAATGACACAGAAAGACAAATTCGCCATATTTAGATAAAGATTTAGGGTTATGGCATGATGATTTTATTTATTTAAAGTGCTTAATAAAAGGTTTTATATCTTTGTCTGCAGCTATTGATTTTTTTTCAGAGATTTTATTTTTGCAATGTTGTTGCTTTCAAAAACATGACCCATGGCGAATTTGTATTTCTGGATTGTTAATATAGTAGACAAGGGCTTTCATCTCCATAAGGAATTTTCTACCCCTCCAAAAACTTGTTGCTCAGTGCTATAAATAGTCTGCTCAGAGTCCGCATTTATATATTTGTGTATATTGGATTCCATGGCCACATTTATGTGTGTTATACCTCTACCTTCGAAAATACTACATTATAGGTTTTTCATGTTTTAAGCCTATGCCCAATTTCATCTCCCATCTAAAATTGAAAATTTTTATAGTGTATTACAACAATTGGAGTCCTCGGAATATTTATTTTTTCAGAACACAATGGTTTTTAAACGTTTGACGTCAAACCTGTTCCATTTAGAATGTAAATAGAATTATTATTGTTTCAGAATTAAATATAATCAATAAATCTTTATTCTACGCATTTCTTATAAACAGTTGAATAAATTATTCCGCATCCAAAATAATACTTCTGGCAGGAATATTGCTGAATATTTTATTGGCCTGTGTACGAATTGACGTATCCATGGATTCTTCAATAACAGGACGCAAAACCTCGACCAGTTCACGCCAATTTTGATTGAATAGATCATTGGCACTGTCAGTTAGAGCTTGGTTGCTGCCAAAGAGATTGGCAAAAGCGACGTGCATATTACCCAAATGTTTGATATGTGATTTTAGGGTTTCCACATTGAAATAGCGTTCGCCCTCACGTTCAACTGCTTTTGCGACCAGGGTAAAACGAACATCGATATCACCTGAAATAATAGACGATACGATATTTCCATCTTTATTTTTTAAATATTATAATTTAAAAATACTTACTGAAATCCACACTGAATTCACCCTTTCCAGCCAAGTTCAGTAATAGTACCCGACCATCCATTACATAATTACCGGCAATGTGGACTTTGGGAATGTTGACATTCAAAACAAAATGATCGCCATCAGTAACACTATCATTTGGAATGGACACGATATTATTGGAATGATTTAAAAAGGGACTTTAATAGCTTACATAACATCTTTCATTTGGGATTGTGACAAACCCCTAATGACAACCTGTGTCAGATTCATGTTGAGGCGAATGTTTGGATTGTCCACAGTAACTCGTGCCTTCTTTAACTTGTACGGATCAATGGAATGTGTTGTAGTACCTCTCAGTAGTAAATGTTGTAGTAAATCTCTTAGACAGGGCCCATTATTGGGATCGTTAAGTTTACACGGAGTTAACTGGGAAACTGAAAGATAATAAATTTTAAATATTTCTTTTCTTTCGAAATCAATTCCATTTTACCTGAATCCTCAGAGTGGCCCTTTGGAATACTGATGACAAATAATGCTAGCACAAGGATTGCGGTCTTTTGAATTTTTAATGTGAAAGCCATTTTCTGTTACGTTTCCGATAATTCTTCGACAAACACTGAACTCTTCTTGTATAACCATATTCCTTAAATATCCAAAAAACATTTTAAGTAACTAGTTGAATGTCGCCAGTCAATTTTAAAAATTTCGCAAAAAAAATCCTATCACATGACTTGTTTTAAGGAAATGTTTAGTTATAATTAATAATTCCCGATAATAACACTAGATATTGCAAGATTAGTGATAAAAAAATTACAGGTACCACAAACAAAAAAGAACGTCGGTTTTATTTGTCATGATCAATTAAATTGATTAATGTACTAAAACTATTTTGCACTGTCAACATTTGCAAATCAATTGCAATTCAAATATTTAACATGTGATTTACCGACGACCAAACGATTTGGGAGCGCAAGTCTAGACCCTCACTGACGGTTTCGCGGACTGTTTATGTTTTAACGGTCACAGATGGTAGCAACATTCTGGACAAAGAACATATCAAGGCGGACAGGGAACATATCAAGGCGGCGTTTCTGAAACTCAAATGTTTAAAAAATCATATTTATGAGTTTTATATGGGAAATTTTTGATTATTATTTTCATATTTTTGATAATTTTCACAATCATTGTAATCACCAGTTCCATATGTTTAATTTACCGTCATTTAATGTTAATATTTGACGCATGTCATTGTTAAATAACATTCTCAAATATAAATTATATTCACAAAAATATGAAAATTTGACTTTGACCTCAAGTCATTTGTAAACCGTGACCCACAATGTTATAAAATTGTATTGGTGTAAAGTTCGAAGTCTAAAGATTGTAAATATATAGCGTTTCATCGGCTCTACTTGAAATTGACTTTTTGCATAAAAAATAAATAATAATAATAAAACCAGTGGGCGGAGCAGTATAGACGGACGAGGCCGACCATACGATACCCTACACCACTACCACTCTAACTTTCTGTCGATGTTTATTCTGAGCCTGGGCAATATTTCGTAATATTTGCACCCTATTGATTAGAGGTCAACAGCGCCTCTTTCTTCCACTGACATATTTTCCGAATATTAATAATATTCAGTACAGCCCTTGTAATTAATTGTCCAGATTCCCTTCACCGTGGGTTTTGTTGTGATGTTCGGCTTTCAATTGTAGACTACAGATCGACTGAAAATAAAAAAAAATTAAGTTTTCCGTCCACTTCATCCCAAAATTTTTATCCGATCATCACCTTCACCATAACTGGATCATAATGGAAAATGTCAAAGCGATATAAATATTTAAGTGTAACTCCCATATCCGAGTACATACGACAATATAATTGGTATCAATTTAAAGGTCAACCACTCCTCTTGGATATACCATCAATTTCTAGGGTCTATGTCCTTCAGGGGTAAATATATATGCCATAGAAACAAATGTCATTTTTCACACAAAAGTCAGGGTTCATTTGACCCGCTAAATATTGGCCAATTTTTATGAAAATAGGCATGCTTATTCTTTTGCCCGACCCCCCTCTCCATGCATGGGCCATAATTGCGGCCTCTGGAGCGACCAGAAAATCAGACAAAAAAAAGTTGCGCTGTCAACAATTTTACCTCGTGTATATCGAACAGACGTAGGCTCATCAGTGCACCATTTACATAAAATCATACGAAAATATATGTGGAAGCTATATCTAAATCTGATCCGATTTTAACTGCGCATACACCTATCCGTGTACTGCGCAAGATTTTGTCTCAATTGGACAAATATTGGGAATTTGGTGCACCATTTTCCTAAAATCGGAAGAAAATATATATGGGAGCTATATCTAAATCTGATCCGATTTTCAATAGGGTTCGTTCAAATTAGTGAGCTGTGCCAAATTTCATCTAAATCGGACCATAAATGCGATCTGCACATTGTACATAGACGGACGTACGGACAACTCAGAAAGTGATTCTATGCATATTCTTAAAAGGAACCATGTGTCTATTTCGTTTCCTTTTGCCTGTTACAAACATATGCACAAAGACCACAGTGTGGTGAAGGTACAAAAAGTGTCAGTCGGTGTTGCCGACAGATATATACCCTGAGCCTATGGTGTGCGTTTTATAAAAGGTATATGTTTTTATTAAAGTGGTTTCGGGTTTAATGTTGATCAAGTCGGTTATTCAATTAGCTTCAAATAAAATTTATAAGTTTATATAATATTGAGCCAATTTGGCGCAAGTATCTAGTCTTGGTAAAGATAATAAGTTGTACAATGTTTGTTTCAATTCGGTGATTCGCCTGATATTGGATTTATAAATATTGAGAATGTTGACCCTTTGTGGGGAAGGTAACAGAAGGAGTAAACCAATGGGTCCCCTCTTCGGACTTAATCTAGGCTTAGTAAAGATAATAGATTGTACGACGTTTAGTTAAAATTTGATAGTCCGTTCGCATAATTTTACAGAAATAATTTTTAGCACAATTTTGTATATATTGTGGGAAGGTACCAGAAGGAGTGTACCGATATTCCCCATCTTCGAACATGAACTAATTTTAGTAGAAATATTACGATATTGCGAAATCGGTAACTGCCTTCGAGAGTTATGGTGCGCACCATCAGGACAGACAGACGGATGGGCATTTGTAAATGACTTCAAATTGTCTAAAACGGATATGGTTCAAAGAAACCAATATTTGAGGCACATTTTTGCCTTATCAAAGTGTAAATACCCTCATTAGACATAAGGCTGAGGGTATGATTGTGATTTTGTCACAGCCACATATCTTGCTTTAAGTGGAGATTATGATTTATGCAGATAAGCATTTAACTCTTGAACACATAAAAATTAACATTCGTCAAGTTATGGCTGAGATACTGCCCAATATGTGTGAAAAATTGGTCGTATACTCACCTTTTAGTATACCGATCATATCAAATCTCAACTAGTTGAGTCGATCTAGACATGTGTGTCCGTCCGTCTGTCCATTATAATTTGATAATAATGTACAGGCCATAGTTCGGTTCGGGTATTTTCTTTTCAAAAAAATTAAAGTGTCGTCAATGTCCGGATTTTTGTATTTTATGAACACAATTCATAAATACTGGTTTCATTTCAGAGAGAGAGAGAGAGAGAGAGAGTAAAAAATCTTGGGATTTGCAAATGTTGGTGACAGTGCCCGAAATACGTAAAGTAATTCTGGGTAAGCATGGGAACTGGTGCCCTTGTTTACATGTATCGGTTAGCTCTTTCTCTTCGTTCTCTTTTTGTAAGATATTTCATATGACGGTTTCTCCTTTACTCTCTGAGAATTTTCATTTTACACACCTCTAACGTAAAGATACAATGGAATGCAAAACTAGCCACAAACAGGGCTGCCAGATTTATCGTCATTATGACGATTTTTTAGTCAAAAATTGAAAAATGACGATTTGACGATTTGACGATTTTTGCCCAAAAAATGACGATTTTTGGTCATTTTAGTAATATTGCAATATTTGGGTTCTTTTTGTTATGGCAACATCAAAAATGTATAAAGCGAAAGAAAAAGTAAAAAGAATATAAATATTTGGCATATGTGTGTGAGGTATACTTTGTATTGTTACAAAGCCAACAACAGTTTACGTTTACCTATACCAAAATTCGTGCAAATCGAAAGATATATAGGGACTTTGGTGCACCAATTACATAAAATCGGACGAAAATATGTATGGGAGCTATATCTAAATCTGAACCGATTGTCACGAAACTTTGCACACATCATTCTAGACTTAATTCAGTACGATATACCAAAAGATTTCCAGTGACTTTAGTGGACTATTTACCTAAAATCGGGCTAAGCTATTTATGGGAGCTAAATCTAAATTTGTACCGATTGCCACGAAACTTTGCACACATCATTCTAAACTTAATTTAGTACGCTATGCCAAATTTCGTGCAAATCGAAAGATATATAGGGACTTTTGTACACAATTTACCTTAAATCGGACGAAGATATATATGGGAGCTATATCTAAATCTGAACCGATTTTCACGAAACTTGGCATACATCATTCTAGACCTTATTCATTACGCTGTGCCAAATTTCGTGCAAATCGGAAGATATATAGGGACTTTTCTACACAATTTACCTTAAATCGGACGAAGATATATATGGGAGCTATATCCAAATCTGAACCGATTTTCACGAAACTTGGCATACATCATTCTAGACCTTATTCATTACGCTGTGCCAAATTTCGTGCAAATCGAAAGATATATAGGGACTTTGGTACACAATTTACCTTAAATCGGACGAAGATATATATGGGAGCTATATCTAAATCTGAAACAATTTTCACGAAACTTGGCATACATCATTCTAGACCTTATTCATTACGCTGTGCCAAATTTCGTGCAAATCGAAAGATATATAGGGGCTTAGGTACACAATTTACCATAAATCGGACGAAGATATATATGGGAGCTATATCTAAATCTGAACCGATTTTTATGAAATTTTACACACATCATTCTAGACCTAATTCATTACGCTGTGCCAATTTTCGTGTAATTCGAAAGATATATAGGGACCGTTTACATTAAATCGGACGAAAATATATATGGGAGCTATATCTAAATCTGAACCGATTTTTCCCAATTTCAATAGGGTTCGTCCTTGGGCCAAACAAATGAGCTGTGCCAAATTTCATCCAATTCGGATCATAAATGCGACCTGTACTTTGTTTACAATTTAACATCTACAGACGGACAGACGGACGGACGGACATGCATAAATCGACTCAGAAAGTGATTCTATGCATATTCTCAAAAGGAACCATGGGTCTATCTCGATTATTTTTGCCTGTTACAAACATATGCACAAAGACATAATACCCTGTACCACAGTGTGGTGAAGGGTATAAAAATAAAAGTTAACGGTTGTTGTTTTTTGACACGGGCAAATAGAAGAAAATTGGTGAACGGAAAAGTTGTTATATTAAATATAAGTTTCAATTTATACAAAGTTATTACAATTTTAAAAATATTCGATTTGAAAGCAT